AGGAAACATGACTGCAGTTCAAGCTCGGGGAGTAGGTTACTTACTGAAGCGCTCCGAGGTTTCTGCCAGGCTAGGCAGGCAATTAAAGCTGGGCTGATGAATGACCTGATTTGGGCTCCAATTCATTAACTAATCATAAGAAATGAGCAGATAAGAAAATAAGCCAAATTCAAGAACTTGTGAGAGGTACATTACTGGCCCCTACATCCCCATGTGCTGCTTTATGCACTTCTCCAGGGCTCCTTTCCTGCATTCCGCTGACAAACGCGATGCTCCGGGTGGTCAGAGCCCGGATCAGCCTGCCCGTGCCTTCAGCTGGGTAAGCAGAGGGCAATATATTTTCATTATAGAAATACATTACGCTGCAGTATGCCTGCAATTGTATTTTGCTTTCCCTAATGTTGTTTTCTTAGCACTCCGTGCCTTGTGTGATGGTTTGTGGTAAAACAGAAGACTGCAGACTGGGTGGTACAGAAAAAAAAACGCGTCCCCTGGAGCGCTGCAGAGGGGAGCTGTCCCTGGGGGGTAAGGGGTGGCCTCCCCCCATGGACCCTCCCAGCCAACTTGGGAATGACAAAGCAGGGTCCCAATGCTGACGTCTAACCTCTCTTCCCTGGGGAAATGGGCTGAAGCCAGTCTGGAGGGTGGGAGGACAGGAGGGAAGTTAAATATATACATGTGTAAAAAGAACAGAAACCCTTGAAGAGCTCGCCCACCTCCATGTAATGCTACCACCCTCCTGCTAACATGTGATGCCTCCCTTTTCATTGCTACCCAATTAAAAAAAAAAACAAACTGCATGACAGCAGCCAGAGAGGTACAGGGGTTTGGAGATGATCCTCACGGAAGATGCAGTGAGCTTCAGGTCAGCAACCCAAAGTGGGAAACAAAAAATGTGAAGTTTGCTCATGCTCCAAGAACCAAATGTGATGATTCTGCTTGCAGAGTAAAGGTGGTTGGAGTAACTGTTCCAGAACAGGTATTTTCAGTCTGCTGCACTTAAAGAATTGCTCCCCAACAGACCCAGTCGATGTCTTCCTCCGCATGATCAGCTTCTCCACTTGTTGGGCACTGCCTCATCCAGGGCTTATGACTTGGTTAGCTCCAGGTGGTTCTGCTTTCACCTGGGCTTTTGGAAGAAAAAGGTCTGAGTTCTAGTCCCTCTTCCTTGGGAAGTTCCTTGGTGAAATAACCCAGTCCAGGTGCCTCCTCCTAGGTGTGGCCAGGGGAGGAGTGGAGAAGGTGAGGAGGGCTTAGCAATTTTGCTCAACGGGCTGCAGTATGAAACCAGTGGGCAGGTATGTCTATGGGAACAAGACGTTTATTAGAGCTGTTGCTTTAAAATATATCTTGTTTTCAGTTCTCTTTCCC